GTAACATTAGAGAGAGAGAAAGAGGGTGTGTGAGAGAGAGAGAGACAGAGAGAGATAGTGGAAGGAAATTTCCATTTATTCATAATATGGAATAATTTAGATGATTCATTTAGTCTTTCCAAAATTCTATCTATTTTTGAGTATCATATGTAATCAAGTGTAAACAATATGTACTTAAAACTGACCAGTTATTGTTTACGAAGCATTAACACTAAAGTGGCAAATATAAATCCTGGGAACACATTAGTACTATAAACTGTTCTGAGAAGTTATTGTGATAATGCTTATACTACAGTGAACCAGAATCTTCAGTCATTATGGCCGTTCATAAAAAACTGAAAGAGTGGGTAATATAATCATCCTTAGAAAACAGCACAGCATACTTTACATCATCAATTCCTAATGCCTACAGAGTAAAGTTTGAAATGTAAGGAGACTATACCCAAAAGGCTGTGTTCGACCAATCTCAAACACTTGTAACTTGGGCTTTGTGACCATGTTATCAGTTCAGTATTATAATAAATAATCCCGTCCTTCTCGTTAGTAAATTTAAGTAGAAATATCTTCCTATGACGCGAGGGAATGAGCAGTGTTACCTGCTCACATACAATTGACAGCGCTAAAACACATTATAATGCTTTAATTTAGAAAACAGTACGAAAATAGCCACAATGAACTGTTTGTAATCCATGTGAAAATTTCTTGAATAATTACTACCCCTGAGGCGGGGTCGTAGATGCGTGCTGCCACTGAGGAGTCCCACAATAGGTCGAAACGGCTGTTCAGTGCTTCCAGGTTTTCATGATGGTCTGGCTTCAATTGACTCATGATCTCAACTATTGAAATAGTTATTAAATGTAAACAACAGAATTTTTGATATCAAGGAATCCTTCTTATTTAAATATTCAAAACAAGTTATTATGACGATTTCTTAAATAGCAGGCTGGAGTGAACTTGTAAGCTGTTAACAATCATTTATGTAACAATGAGTTGGAGCTGAAAATGTTAACAGTTGAATATCGTGAGGCCAATAGATCCGTGGTTCTGTCTTTGATGAAGTGGGAGGAAGTTGTTGTTAAGCTTATATCTAAGGAGTCACATAGTACAATAAGACAAATACTCAATACTATCAAGATTCTCTATAGTTTTCTAGTGCGTTAGTGTTTATTATAAACTGCGTAACACAACTAATCAATGAATTTGTGTACTGTTATTAAGATTATCTAAAACAGCAATTAAAGCTTTACTAGTAAAGCATTTTAAAAATGTAAACCTTCAAGTAGATAGGCTTTGAGAATGGAAAATCTGTTAATAGTCCAATAGTAATATATATATGGAGCTAAATTTTGTGCTCTTAATTTTCATGAAGTGTTTCAAGGAAAATATTGAACGCGCACTGTTAATGAAATGTCTAAATTGAAAATCTAAAACTTGTCAATTACCTTTATGAACTATAATAGTTATCAAAGTTGATGCTCATTATTTAATAATCTGACTACTTACATTATAATGTACATAGTTAATACATTTCCCTCACTATTCTTACAACAAGTTTTAGTTAAAATTATTGTGAAACTCGGTAACCAAGTTGGCATATTTTAAACTCTTCTTTAATGTTAGTAACACAATCATTCTGATTACATTTGGGTTGCCTAATCTACGAGCAAACCCTAATAGTCTCTCTCTCTCTCTCTCTCTCTCTCTCTCTCTATATATATATATATATATATATATATATATATATATATATATATATATATATATATATATATATTTGTATATATATAATCTGCATAGACCAGTGATAAAGAATACATCTTTCAATCTTTCAAAGATTCATCGACCAACTATACCTGCAGCCAGTTGTTGATATTTACCCTATCACCAAAGCTTAACATAAATCTTGATTAAAATAGCCATCACTTGATCAAACATATCTTATAATTGAATGTATAATGTTCCTATTTGGAGGATGATGCACATTTACGTCCACCAACTTTCAAATCCAAGAGCAGCATAACTACAACTGAAGAATATCTGAAACTCAAAACAACTGTCTGTCAAACAACATAAGTCACAATTTTCAACACAAATATCAAGACAGTTCTACTGAACGGAGCGGAAACTTGGAAAACTACTACAACCATCATCCAGAAGATACAAATGTTTATTAACAGTTGTCTATGCAAAATACTTCCGATCCGTTGACCAGAAACTATCAGCAATAACTTACTGTGGGAGAAAACAAACCAGATTCCAATGAAGGAAGAAATGAGGAAGAAGTGCTGGAAGTGGATAGAACACATATTGAGGAAAGCACTCAACTGTGTGTCACAAGGCAAACCCTCATCATTTGAAATCCTCAAGGCCAAATAAAGTAGAAGAGGAAGACGAAAGAAGAACACATTACACCGAGAAATGGAGACAGACATGAGCAGAATGAACAGCAATTGGATGGAACTAGGAAAGAAGGCCTAGGACAGAGTGTGTTGGAGAATGCTGGCCAGTGACCTATGATCCATCGGGAGGAACAGGCGTAAGCAAGTAAGTAACTTTCAAATCGTAAATTCAACTAATATCCAGATGTCGACTTCTACGAATACCATCTATTGTAACAGAAACTAATCAAATTTGAATCACTTACTTACTTACTTACTTACACCTGTTACTCCCGATGGAGCATAGGCCGCCGACCAACATTCTCCAATCCACTTTGTCCTGGCTCTTCCTTTCCAGTTCTATCAAATTTCAATATTGAATATTATTAATATCGATAAGGTCTTAGTTTTCTTCTTTCTTCTTCATAAAGACAACCAATATGTTAAAATCTAACTAAACATAATCTTTTATTCGTAAATATTCAATATCTAGTACCCATGAGAAGATGACTAATGATTAAATCTTTTCTTTACGATAGAAACAAATTTCACTTAAGAAAAAAAACTTAATCTTGATTTGAAATTCATATCACTTTGATTGATTTATTGATTTATTGATTGGATCGATTGATCGTTTGATTGATTTGATTTGATTAAAATGATTTGAATTTATTTATAGTGGTAACACTTAATCGATATTGAATTCAATATTGTGTACGGTAAGAAATTATATGATTGAATGATTTAGAATAACATAGATATATAAGCGAATCATATTGTTTTGAATTAGATTCTCATCAGGTTTTACTCTAATATACAGTCATGTTTTTATAGGCATATACGAGTTCGTCTACAAACTGATGCCTCCTAAAGTTCTGTCTGATAAGGTCGCAAAGAAAGAGTCGAAGGTTAAACTGCCAAAGGTTGATAAGAAGAAGAAGGGGAGGAGGAAAGAGAGTTACGCTATCTACATCTATACGAAATGAATTAAATTAATCAAGGTAGTATATGAATCAATGAGGATAACAGTGGGATAGATTAAAAAAATAAGTGAAAAGTATGAATTAGTAGTGTGATGACAAGTATACTAGTTGTGACTGACTAAAGCAGTGAAGAGAACGCTTAATGCAGTCAAGCTCTATTTATCGTACTCGTTCCAATCTATGATGATTTCTCAACTAAAGGATAAGTTACCTGGTTGTGCCACTTCCATATGTATCTACGAAGTCAGCTACTCCTGTGGAGAAAGCTATATTAGACGTACCACCAGACAGCTGAGCCAACGAGTTAGTGAGTACCTCTCTTCGTGGTTAGGAAAAAGTACTGTCGAGACAATACGCAGCTCTTTTCTATCACACTTGATCAATAGCCCTCACGTAGTAGACAGAAATAAGTCAGTTAAAGTTATTTATCGTATTCCCACTAGTTTTCCTTATGATGTTCGATCTCTTCTCTTACACACAGCAGAAGCTATAAGATTTCGAGACAAACAATCTAAGTTTTTATGTACATAAGAAATTTGTAACACCCTTTCTTTCCCTTCGCATTATTAAATGATTTTATTTATTATTATATTCCATACTCTCTCTTCGTTTATTTTTTTCACCCCCTCCTACCATTTTGTTTTATTTTCTTTCAAATATACGTTTCACGGTTCAATTATCTGAACACTTGTTACGTAATCTTACGATTTTTGATTCAAATCATGAGTCAATTGAATCTGGTCCACCATGGAAAACCTGGAAGCACTGGACGGCTGTTTCGTCCTGGAATGGGACTCCTCAGCAATGCGCATCCACAATCCCGCACCCCTCGAGACTCGAACACAGGACCTATCAGTCTCGCGCCAGGGGCTTAACTAACTAGACCACTGAGCCGGCCGACATACAACGGTGTTAATGTCTAACCTCAACCAATCCACCAAAATGCGCGACCATCTTCCATTGTACTGAGGTAGACACCTGTTTCTACCAGACACGGATTAGCTCCACTGGTCACGGCTTCTCACCACAACTCCGAGAATTTTCTCACGAAGCTATTCACTAGTGAGCACATGTTAATTATCAGTTTCTTTATCAATGTTATTTCAGTGTTTAAATTTTTTCTAATCATTGATCTATTTCCCATTATGTAACATTGATTCATACCTTTATTATTCCTTATCACAACTAGTATACTTGTCATCACACTACTAATTCATACTTTTCACTTATTTTTTTAATCTATCCCACTGTTATCCTCATTGATTCATATACTACCTTGATTAATTTAATTCATTTCGTATAGATGTAGATAGCGTAACTCTCTTTCCTCCTCCCCTTCTTCTTCTTATCAACCTTTGGCAGTTTAACCTTCGACTCTTTCTTTGCGACCTTATCAGACAGAACTTTAGGAGGCATCAGTTTGTAGACGAACTCGTATATGCCTATAAAAACATGACTGTATATTAGAGTAAACCCTGATGAGGATCTAATACTTTGACACAAGTACTTGGTTACTACTCCAATTCAGAACTAATAGACAATAACAAGAAATAATCATAGATTTTAAATTATTTAATCTTGTTGAAAAATAATTCGTTTATGAATAAGGTTTTCTCTTTCCTGACAACAGTTTAGTTTAATGTTAACAGAAAAAAAGTAATAATAATAAAGTGCCTAAACTTCTTGTGATAAATTATTTTCTCTAAATGATAGAAAAAGAGCCAAAACGAACATTGATGCAGAATCATGTGAATTCATTGTATTTTATAGTTTCTCATCAGTTGCTTACAACCAAATGTGGATTAGAATTTTACATCGAGGTAAGATACAGTGTGAAACAATTGACATAATTGAATGTAAAGAATTGGAATGAAAAAGATTATCAATAATAACTATATATATATGTGCAAGAACAGGTCAGAGGTTATTTGGTGTTAGAATCAAAGAAACATTAGGGATAGATGATGTAATAGTTGAATGAAGTCCAGAGACAGACAAATAAATTAGATGGTGGTTGGAGGTAGTCAACAGGAAACCCTGGACCCGGGTTTCGTGCTACTTGGCACTCGTCAGCAAGGTGTACCTGTAATCTTGAGGGAACTGGTGCTCCCTGGCGGATTCGATCTCCTGTCACCCAGCTTCACAGTCAGAGACGTTACCACTGAGCTATCCGAGCCGTGACTAACCTCCTGTAGGACTGAGATGTAATCACAATTGATTGATCACTGGGTGGTGATCAATCTCATGCTTGTCTAGACAAATAAATTGTGTGATATTTATAGAGGTAATGAAGGTTTTACATAAGATTCATAAGATGGGTGACGTAATAATTGAATAGGATTTGAAGAGTTTACATAGTTTAACAGAATCGACTGAGTGTAAATGTGTGAGTGAAGGGGTGGTTTAAGAATTAGGTAATGGGAAGAGAACTATAACAAACTAAACACTAACCAGAGTAGGAATAGGTTTATTACTGTCTCGTTTTGAATACATAGATCAGGTTTGAGTTTAGTTTTATCGTGATCATTTCAGCAAAACGGAGAAAAGCAGTATTTCTTTGTCTGTTAATAATTTTAAAAGCATGAGGAATGTCAGTGGTATGCCCGATGTCAAATAAATGCTGAGCTATTGCACTGTTAAGAGCCCTTGTAAGCAGCTGATGAGAAACTACGAAATATAATGAATTCATATTAATCTGCATCAATGTTCGTTCTGGCTTTATTTAAATTCATAAAGTGAACTAATTACATGAAATCATATAAATAGCTTGAATTGATTATTCATTAGAATTAAACTAATTCTATGTGATTAAGATCATGAACTGATTGATGTTAGAAAATCATTGAAACTGGATGATCTAACATCATTCAGTTCATAACCTCAATCAAAAGCTTAATAATCTCGACAATCCGATACTGATATTTCTATATACATAAACCTTGTCCCTGTACTTTTCCAATGACTAGATGTTATATGTATATGTATATATACGTAAATCATTTAGTTTACTGATTATGTAACATCATATTCAATGAACTTAAATGATTGTACTTCAAACACACACACACACACAGAGAGAGAGAGATGAAGCCGATTATTACTTAGTAACTTTATGATAAATCTGTAAATACACCTTTAACTTATTTGTTTTTAAAATAATCACTGATGGTTACGAAGTAACTCATATTCAAATTCATGATAAACTTGATTATTCATGATTATAGATGTACTTGAATAACAGGTATTAATTAGCAACAGAAAAAACAACTCAAAACCCAAGCATATCTCTTCTGATTGTTTTCATTCAGCTTCCATTAAATTAAATCTACCATTATAAATATCAACTTAAATTAGTTGTCTGTGAAGTGATATTTTGGTGTGAGTTACTTATATTCATATAAATAGTATATAACAATGGACAGGCATAAAATGTATTTCAAGAAGGAAAGAACGGGAACAGACAGCATTTCGTATGAAAATGGATGTATAATGAAATCTGAGACAATAGACTAATATTTGCAAATTGACTATTTACTATATGGATCTCAGATTGTATTGAGATACTATGTAATTTCATGTCCGAATATATTTGGTTGTCCCCACTCGTGTTCTTGTTCACTACAATATTCCTAACAAGATTCTGTAATAAATATTATAAACCATTTCTAGACTTTGTAAAATAAAAATAACAAATAAACAAAACACACACAAATAAGCAAAAGCACAGACAAATAGTAGTTAGTAATGGAATACATTTTGAAGCATGTTTCGTCCTATCTGGAACTCATCAACTGGATTTAACTGTACCATTCAATTTTAAAAAGAAATAATTAAAAAGAACCAAGAAAATGAAAACAAACAATAAAATCAATTAAGAATAATGAATATTCCCTAAACTACTTACTTCTTTGATCTTATTCCAATTCATTTATTAAATGTGAATATTATTCTTTCATTATATTAGTTTTTAATATGATTTTATCTTTTCTTTTAATGATTAATGGATAAACATAATAGCATGTATTGTATTCCGAATGTATCCGTTAATATTTTGACTTTCCCTCGCTCTTTTTGTTTTCTTTATATGGTTACTTTATGATGATTATTATAAGATCTATGCAAAGATCCCAATATGGATCATTGAAATGATGATATTGTTAATGATTTAATCAATTCATTTACAAGATGTAATAACATTTTCCAACAAAAACAACATAAAAGGTGAATGTTGTAATCCATGACATAAATAGCTGAACATGAGTTTTGATTGGTTAATTAAACTGACCAATAAAAATCATTGAAATTATTTATTTAACTAAAAATTATTATTATCATTACCTTCTGATAATAATCATCTGCTCACTAGTGACTAACTTCAAGAGATACTCCTGGAGTTCTAGTGAGAAGCCGTTACCAGTGGAGTTTTAACCATGTCTGTTATGAGATATCAACTCACTGAAGACAATGGTATACGGTGCCTCAACTTTGTGGATTGGTTGAAGTTAGACATTGACACTGTTGAATGTCAGCCGGCTCAGTGGTCTAGTTAGTTAAGCCCCTGGCGCGAGACTGATAGGTCCTGGGTTCGAGTCTCGAGGGGTGCGGGATTGTGGATGCGCATTGCTGAGGAGTCCCATTCCAGGACGAAACAGCCGTCCAGTGCTTCCAGGTTTTCCATAGTGTTCTAGCTTTAATTGACTTATGATTTCCATTAGTGGAATTGTTATGAATAGTTGAGTTAATAAGTCAATTGAAGCTAGACCATTATGCGAAATTTGAAAGCATTGAATAAATGTTTCGTTCTATTACGGGGCTACTTAGCAGCGTGCATACACAATTAGTGCTTCCAGGATTTCTATCGTCGTCTATATTCAATTGACTGATGATCTCAACTATTGAAATTACTAGAATATCCACAAAAAACCCATTCTCATACTAATTAACATATACTCATCAGTGAATGGATTCAATAGGCATTTTCTGGAGTTCTAATGAGAAGCAGTGACTAGTGGAGTTTAACTGGGTCTGTTGTGAGATAGTAACTGATTGAATAAAATGGTGGATGTGTCGCTCAATTTCGTGGATTAGTTGAAGTTAGACATTGACACTGTTGGATGCCGTCCGGCTCATTGGTGTAGACGTTAAGTGTTCGAGTGCAAGACTAATAGGTCTTGTGTTCAAATCTCTCGAGAGGTGATCATGGATGTACACTGCCTTTGAGGAGTTTCACAATAGGACAGTTTTCCATAGTGGTCTAGCTTCAATTAACTCATGATCACAACTAATGAAATCTCCCTAAAACGTCTGATATTAAAATTTTTTAGAACAGATTTTAATTTAACCATAATTTTAAAATATTTCCATTGTCATTTAGATTTCGTTTCAAAGTATATCTGTCTTCTTATTTAAATAAATATTTATTCTTTTTTTTTTTTCTGGTTCGTTCATAGACATGGTTGAACTTGCTTTACAACATGATTTTGTATTACTTCTTCATGGAGAAAAATTAATAACACTTATTGTTAAAGTGTGAAAAATATATGAATATGAATAATGACCATTCTTTGTTTTTAAGTAAAGATGATTACATCTTGAAATCAATGATTATAATTTATGTAATTGATCCGTCTTTTGTTGTAAACGCGCGTCCTACATTCTACTGTTAGCCACCATCCGTATTTACTTAGAATGCTTGTGACTTAAGGAAATATCGATGTAATCCGTACATCATACACATATACCAACAAGTTAATGATCAATTGCAGTCCTAAATAAAACTAGGAAAATACGAGTGAATTTAAAACCTCACTGCATTGCACAAGCAAGTGGCTATCAGGACTCAGTAGCTAAGTGGATAACACTATAGCATTTAAAGCGAATGGTACTGTGTTCGAGTCCTGGAGAGAACACCAACTATGAAATACAAGTACATCTAGCTGACAAGTCCCATATATGGCAAAATACTTATCCTACTTTCCACTAAAATTCCACGTACCGAAATAAATGGTTGCTCTAGTTGTCAGAAGGGGTATCTGCCTCATGACTTCCGAAGGAACTCGGCTTTCATCATGAGACGTCATAACTCTCCTAAATGAAGACCTTCTGACTCCCAGGACATAGTTTAAAAGGTTTGAATAATTTTTCTGGTTAGCGTTTTTTTAGCGAGTTAGTTTTCTACGGGATGGGGTTGCTAACCCCATACCCAACCCTCCTCCTTTATCTGGGCTTGGGACCGGCAGTAGCCCCCGAAGGGACTCCAGGCGGAGTTGGATAGAACTAGAAAACAAGGCCCAGGACAGAGTGGGTTGGAGAATGTTGGTCGGCGGCCTATGCTCCATTAGGAGTAACAGGCGTAAGTAAGTAAGTTTCCACTACTAAACACTATTTATCTTTATAAGCAAAGATGGATAGTGGCTAGCAGTGAAATACAGGACGCGCGTTTCGTCCTGTTTGGGACTCGTCAGCTGGATGTAGCTGCATCTCAGAGTTGATGTTCACTCTGGGACTCGAACTCAGTACCGTTCGCTTCAAACGCCATCGCGTTATCCACTTACCTACTAAGTCCTGATAGCCACTTGCTTGTGCAATGGGTTGAAGTTTAATTCACTTGATATTGTTTTATTTGAATCTTCCCATTGATGTTTTTTTTCGGACTGAAATTGATCAGTCTTTTATTGGCATATGTGCATACTGTGCGTATGCCTCGATATTGCCTTAATTTACAAGCATTGTAAGCAAAGATGCCAATAAGAGACTGATCAATTTCAGTCCGAAAAAAAACATCAATGGGAAGATTCAATTAAAACAATATCAAGTGAATTACTACTTATCTTTGTTTATATATGATTAGTGTATCATTAATATATAGAAAACAAGTGACCTTAAGATTATAATATCAAGTTAGTGAACTTATTTATTTAAGTGAAATAGATAAATGTAATTGTTTATAATCACCTAGGAAAATCAATATCTGTATTGTTAATAAATTTGTTTATTATAATTAATTAATTCATTAATTTTTTATTTATTAGATTTAATCAATGAATTAATTTGAATGAAAATCATTAACAGTCATTTTATGTTTATAGTAAAGAATGAAATGTAATGAACTAACTAACAACTACATATCAATGAAACAAAAATGTAGTAAAATCAGTTAAGCACCACTAGTAAACTACTACTTCCACTACTACCACTACTACTACTACTACTACTACTACTACTACTACTAACACTACTACTGCTACTACTACTACTACTACTACTACTACTACTACTACTACCAACAATACTACTACTACTACTACTACCAACAATACTACTACTACCACCAATACTACTACTACTACTACTACTACTACTACTACTACTACTACTACTACTACTAACACTACTACTGCTACTACTACTACTACTACTACTACTACTACTACTATTAGCACTACTACTACTACTACTACTACTACTACTACTACTACTAACACTACTACTGCTACTACTACTACTACTACTACTACTACTACTACTACTATTAGCACTACTACTACTACTACTACTACTACTACTAACACTACTACTGCTACTACTACTACTACTACTACTACTACTACTACTACTACTACCACTACTACTACTACTACTACTACTACTACTACTACTACTACTACTACTACTACTACTAACAATACTACTGCTACTACTACTACTACTACTACTACTACTACTACTACTACTACTACCAACAATACTACTACTACTACTACTACCAACAATACTACTACTACCACCAATACTACTACTACTACTACTACCACTACTACTACTACTACTACTACTACTACCACTACTACTACTACCAACAATACTACTACTACTACTACTACTACTACTACTACTACTACCACTACTACTACTACCAACAATACTACTACTACTACTACTACTACTACTACTACTACTACTACCACTACTACTACTACCAACAATACTACTACTACTACTACTACTACCAACAATACTACCACCAATACTACTACTACTACTACTACTACTATTACTATTACTACTACTACTACTACTACTACTACTATTACTATTACTACTACTACTACCACTACTACTACTACTACTACTACTACCACTACTACTACTACTACTACTACTACTACTACTACTACCAACAATACTACTACTACTACTACTACTACTACTATTACTATTACTACTACTACTACTACTACTACTACTACTACTACCACTACTACTACTACTACTACTACTACTACTACTACTACTACTACCAACAATACTACTACTACTACTACTACTACTACTATTACTATTACTACTACTACTACTACTACTACTACTACTACCACTACTACTACTACTACTACTACTACTACTACTACTACTACTACTACTACTACTACTACTACTACTACTACTGCTACTACCTCAGTTAATATATAAATTATTTAAGAAAATCATTCAAACGGTCATTTAACTTCTTATTACGTAATGTTGCTTTTATTAGTATTATTATTTCTTTGGTTAGCATTTTTTTAGCTATGTGGACCATCAAGACTTCGCAGATGATTTGACCCTTCTATCGCACACGCAGCAACAATTACAGGAGAAGATGACCAGTGTAACATTAGCCTCAGGAGCAGTATGTCTCAACATACAGAAAGGGAAAAGCAAGATTCTCCGATGCAACGCAGCATGCAACAATCGAATCATACTTGATGGAAAAGATTTGGAAGATGTAAAAACCTTAACATTTTTGGGCAGCATCATTGATGAACATGGTGGATATGATGCAGATGTGAAAGCACGGATCGGTAAAGCAAGAGCAGCATATTTACAGCCGAAGAATATCTGAAACTCAAAACAACTGTCAGAATTTTCAATACAAATATCAAGACAGTTCTACTGAACGGAGCGGAAATTTGGAAAACTACTACAACCATCATCCAGAAGATACAAGTGTTTATTATCAGTCGTCTCTGCAAAATACCTCCGATCCGTTGACCAGAAACTATCAGCAATAACTTACTGTGGGAGAAAACAAACCAGATTCCAATGAAGGAAGAAATGAGGAAGAAGTGCTGGAAGTGGATAGAACACATATTGAGGAAAGCACCCAACTGTGTGTCATAAGGCAAACCCTCATCATTTGAAACCCTCAAGGCCAAACAAAGTAGAAGAGGAAGACGAAAGAAGAACACATTACACCGAGAAATGGAGACAGACATGAGAAGAATGAACAACTATTGTATGGAACTAGAAAAGAAGGCCTAGGACAGAGTGTGTTGGAGAATGCTGGTCAGTGACGTATACTCATTGGGGGTAACAGGCGTTAGTAAGTAAGTAGGTAATATTAATATTAGCTTTATTCAATGTTGTATATTTGGTACAATATAGAATTCTCAGTACAAAGTATTTCAACAAGTCTCCCATTTCTCATTTTTCGGTCGATCCTTGTGGTAAATATTGAGTTATCGCTGGTTAGATCTTAAGAGTCCAGTAAATCGATATAATGTACATTCTTTTCGATGAATACTGCCAGCAACTATAATGTCTCTGACTAGACGAAATCTCGTAAACTTGTCACAAATGCTCTTATATAGGTTCTACAATTAATACGCATAATATTGTTTTAAAATAAACATGAAAAAAAAACAGATAACTTGTTGAAATATCCAGATAGCATGAACAAATCGCCTAGATATTCAAACAAGCGACCTGGAACTTCAATGAACCAGATGAAGAACCATGTATATATTTATTCATATTGAAGATAGACCACCATGAGAAACCTAAAAGTACTAGACGGCCGTTTCGTCCTGGTACGGCACTCCTCAGTACTGTACATCCACGGCCCCGCCTCATCAAATTCGAACCCACGTTACATCAGTCTCGCACGCGAACACTTAACCTCAACACCAATGAGCCAGACGGCATCCAACAGTGTTAATGTCTAACTTCAACTAATCCACGAAATCGAGCGACACATCCACCGTTGTCTTCAATGAGATACTATCTCGCAACAAACCTGGTTGAACTCCACTAGTCACTGCTTCTCACTAGAACTCCAGAAAATAAATCTTGAAGCCAGTAACTAGTGAACATGTATATATGATCAGTACAGATAGGTTCGCGCATTGAATTCCCTCGGTTGAATTTATGTCTAACAAAGAAAGGAACATAAAACAAATCCGGACATTTTTGGATTGAGCTATTCTTGAATAAGTTGAAAATGGTCATTTCTGATAAATTTAACGGTAGGAAGATAAAATTAGTTATTATAAATTTCCATACTGGGATTAAAGTTGATATTTCGATATGAAAATGATATTTTTTTGTTATTGGACGTAATCAGCTTGAAAAGTATTGATCATCATGGAGCTTTGAAAAGATTGTTTCCTTATAGTTTTTGAAAATAATCCTTGTCAAATCGGAACACGGGGAGGAGAATAAAAGAAAGACATTCAATGGAAGATTTAGAAACAATGGATTTGATTCATGACAGTTTGTGATTCGGATACTTTATTCTGACATGAAAAAGTAACTATCCAATGTTTTTTGAATACCAATTACATCTCAGCTGATATCAGTTGGTGGTCACACAAAAAAACTCCGCCTGGAGCCTCTCAGGGGTTACTACCGGTCCCAAGCCCGGATAACGTAGGAGGGTTGGGTATGGGGTTAGAGACCCCATCCTGTAGAAAACTGACACCCTGAAAAACGCTAAGAGAAGAAATAATCCAAACAATTAAAATCTGCCTCAGGAGTTAGATGGTTTTCATTTAGAAGAGTTATGACACCTCATGGTGAACAGCCGAGTTCCTCTGGAAGTCATGAGGCGGATACCCCTTCTGACAACCAGAGCAACCATTGATTTAGGTACATGGAATGCTAGTACAATGTGAGACACCGAGAGAGTCATCCAAATTGTTCATTTCGATAAAATGGTATACTCATACAAAACAAAGACATGTAATTCATAAGTTCATAATATTATGTATCTCTTATTAATTCATGAATAAGATATTAAGATTATGTGAATGAATGTTAATAACTCTAATTTTTCTAATTTAAAACATTTACATGTCCATCTTCATCCGCAAAATAATATTCAGTACAGGTGGATTGTGTTGATTATTCTATCTTACTTTAGAACTTGTCAGCTGAATGTATCAATACCCTGGTGTTGATCTTTAAACTAAGACTCGAGTACAGTACATATAGCTTTCAACCCCGACTCTGTATCCACTAGGAAAGGGAGTTCAGATATCTATTAGCTTGTATAAAGCCTGAATCATATAAAGCAAAATAAAAAGCACTACATTTCTCTTAAACATACACAAATAAGCTAACAGAAGGATAGTATGATGTGTTACCTCCTATGTAAACAGAAACAACTTTAATAATATCAAAAAGCTAACAGAAGTATAGCATATCGACCAATATGTGATCAGTGGACAATTCAATATAGATTCTACTCATCCATCATCATGGAACACATGGCCAAGTTTATTCAAACATAACGGTTACCAAGAATGCAAAGACATATAAAGATTATGAAGGTACAAGACCAGCCAGATATAACAAGGGTCGTCAGAACAAAAGGGTATTGCGAAATAATATTCTAAAATGATCAAACATAATTGAACTAAGCATTCACGCAGAACAATGAAAACTTCATGATTCAGAAACACTCAGATAAAAGATCAAGATCACATCATCTGAAGCAACCGAATAAACCATTTATGACTGTTTCATATCAAGTCCTCCATGACAGGAATATAAGTGAACCTAAAGGAAATACTAGAGTGACTACATGAAATTAACCTATCCAAAGTTTAATTCCACAGTTGTTTTATACAGAATCTGCTGGTGATTATAAAACTACTCGTAAATTTACCAGTTATGTATAAGAAGGGCTCTCAGATTATGCGCCATTTATTCCTCAACACTAACGATTCCATGTTCTTCCTAAATATGTGACAAATCAATATGAACATATAAATTTTTATTGCCCATATAATGATACTTTCAATCTATACTAATCTCTGTTCCCTCTTGCTCTACAACTTATTTGAACTACAATACGAACGCCTGGACACTGGAACACAATCATAACCCTATATTCACCCTGAATTGCCCAACAAGTTGAAGGCAGTGTGCGTAACAGTTTATCTGAGTCGTCTTGAGTCTCAATTAACATCTCGAACTCACTGGTTGTGTATACGGAACTCCAGACACTTCGATTATAGTTGATGATCTTATCACTATTGAATTTAGATAAGATTCTATTATAAAATTTGATAAGTCATTACAGAAAAATTCAGTTACCATTGAATATACTGGACAACTGGTAGTAACAGCTATGTATTATTGAATTATTAGCAACACGTGAAATCCATTGCAGATCATGGTCAACAATATGTCATACCATCCTAGATCTTATCTTCGGTAGAAATATTATTCCAGTGTCTGTAAAAATAATCAGAATTTAGAGAAAGTGATCACGAAATGGTTGTCGACGATGTCAACAATACTGTCTACCCCTATGATAGTATTCCTTTACAAAAAGACTACTCAATATAGGCTGTGGAAACATACGGACTAGGAATTCCTGAAAACCCTGTTAAGACGATTGAAGTAGGATGACTTCTTTCCAAGAAATAGTATCATGGATGCCTCTGACGTCTACCAAATCACTGGTTCGTTTTTAGATTTCATCATATATTTGGAAACATACAGGATTATTAAACTGTCACTCTTCCCCATATATGTCTATTATTTCTACTTCCAGCATCTCATCAACAAACGGAGGAGCAAATTAAAAGCAAAGATGGGTAGTGGCTAGTGTAGTGAACGAGAACACAAAGTCACGGAGCATCTCACCAAAATCTGAGAACCATATAGTAAATAGTTAATTTGCAAAATACCAGTCACTTGTCTCAAACTCGACTGTTCCTTTTGGAAATCTCAGTCCATCGTCTTAGATTTCATTGCTCATGCATTTTCATACGAAATGCTGTCTGTTCCCGTTCTTTACTTCCCCATCTTTCACTGAAATACATTCTCTGTCTGACCATCGTTATATACTACTTATGTAAATACAAGTAGCTCACACTACAGCTAGCAGTGGAATCCAGTTTGACGCGCGTTTCGTCCTATTTTGGACTCATCACTTCGATGTACCTGCATCTCAGAGTTGATGTTCACTCTGAGACTCGAACCCAGTACCGTTCGCTTCAAGCGCCATTGGCAGTCCGCACAGAATACATATATGCTAACAAGAGACCAATCAATTGCAGTCCTAAATAACAATGGGAAGATATAAGTAAAGAACACCAAGTGAAGAGTGAAAGATGTTTGGAATTGTTCACTTTGAAAAAGGTTTATATTGAAGATTATTATTAACACATTAAGCTAAATAACCAATAGAGTTTTGTTCT